ATGCCAAATGCCCATAATCCTATATCTGAAGGCTATGAATTTTTTCTCAACCCAACTAGCTTGTTCCATCTCTGCTCTTTTTCCAGGTTTGCATTCAGAGGGAGTTATTATGCATAACTGATCGGGATGTTTTAAGCAATTTTTTTTCTCTACAGGAAAATTTAAGTATAATTTTGAGAAACAGCTTCTGGGCATCCTGAATGGCAGAGACAAAGGTAAACCAAACTCCCTTTGTACACTAAATGATCTGTAATTATGTCTTTTCCTTTTTAATAACAAGGCTTTTTCTATGGAAACAGTCACTCCTGGATTTTCCTGTGATTTCTAAATATGTTATTTATATATTATTTATATGTTACTCTGGTTTGCAACTTGTCCCTCTCTTACCTACCTATATTTAATATTTTCCATGGTCATTCATCTTGCCCTTGAAATATGGGTCTCTGTAATAATTAATACATGGAGTACTGCTAATAAAATATGAATGTGTTTATGTATCACACTGATTCTCAACCAGGGTGCTGCTAACATAACAACTTCTAAATGCCTATCTATACAGTTGTTTGGGTGAAAGGGGAGGAAGTTAAATTGGGCCAAAAAATGGCAGGCTGCTCTAAGTTAGTTCACCTAAGTAGATGAACTACGGGCATAGTTATGTGGAACAAAGATGACAGAGGTCAAGTAGGTGAACTAACTTAGATCAGGAATGGTTTAACCTGATCTACTGAACATCCGCCTATGTTTGGGGGCCATTTCTGAGGCTAGGAAAGACCAGCTGCTAGGCCTAGGGCTGTGTTCTTCCTACTCTCCTCCCTCCCCCCCTCCCCCTCCCAACCTGGATTGACTTATTTTTAGTCCTCCTCCCACCACTCCCCTACCCCTGAAGACCCACCAAATGACCTCCATCCCCCTACAGACCTGCTAGCCCAACCCCTCCAATTCCACCTGCTCTTCCTCCAATCCTTAGTTACTTTACACTGGGTTCCCAGCATGTTTCCTAGCACTCATGAATGTTTGCACACAGTACTCCCTGTCTTTGATCACATGGCTTAAAATAAGCCATGTGCTCGCAGACCAGGTGTTAGCACTGCTATATGTGCCATGTACCTGATGTTAGCAATGCCATGTGTGCAAACATGTTCACAAGATAAAGATGGAGATTTTAAATAGGAATTCATGGTGAACATTTTGACATTCTGCAGCGCTTCTGAGTTATTTACAGCAGAAGAATTACTGTATTATTTTTTCTGTAGTCAAAAAAGAAATGGAAAACTAAGAACTGGCTTTATATAAGAGGTGCCTTGAGTCTAACAAGGGCTGCTTTGAGTCTAAAAAGGGTAAATCACTGATGTATCAGAATAGCACAGTTATTCTTTTCTGATCTCTTAACTGCACTGTTAATGGAGCTACTGCTATTTTATTCTCAGGAGTAGCTGATCTTCTGTTCTCTTTTCAGAGAACCTTACAAACATAAAAACCTTTCAGCAAGTTTTCCTCCCATTCCTTTCAGCAGGTCTTACTACCTACCCAACACAAAAATATTATGCTAATTTAATATAGGATTAATCTGTCCTCAGAAACCCTAGAAGTGGAGTGGAAAAGCCCCTCTAGAGAAATTCTAAATGCATCCCCTAACATGTGTACTCTAAAGTGGTAGTTTCACCATTACTTGTTGAACAGGTGTGGCATGTTCTTTGATCTGTGCCTAAAAAGTCTAGCACAGAAGCAGTTTAGCATAGCAATATATCCTCACACCTCATGTCCTTCTTCCTTGTATATCCAGATAGGAGCCAGACAGAAGGTGTTACCAGGCTGTATATAATGTTGGGGTGTGTGTCTGGATGGTAGTTTCATATAACCAGTCAATACTGACTCCTTTCCCTTGTATTTTTAATGTCAATTGCATGCTAGTCTTGACCTCTGCTATCTTCATTCCACATAACTATACCAATTAGAGTATCATGCTCTGGAATCCATCAATAAAGGGAGTGTGGAGTGTTACATTTCCTTAGATAAACCACATGAGAGCCAGGAAGGCAGATAGCAGGTCTATAGCTATACTTAACACCTTGTTATAAGATGAGCTATATGATTAGTCTGCCAGTTCCCAAAGGGGATTCATTGGCTGCTTACAGAAGTGAAAAAAAAATCACAATGGCACTTTACCTTAAACTCTGTGTGCCCCCAGGCCGAGATCCTTGCATGCCCAGAAGAGGCACCATTTTAGTTGGACCTGGCTTACCCAATTGTTGTATGGATTGGACAGTTTAGTGGGGCTTTTTTGGCACTTTTATCTAATAAAGCTGATTGAATCCACTATTGGATAAAAACACCAGAAAGCCCTGCTGAAGAACCTGATCAATACAGGCACTGCAGAGCTGGGTCAAACTATCGTGCTGCGTCTTCTGGTAAATCACGTTTTGTGTTGGTTTTTTTTACATCTGTCATCAAATGTCTGAAGACGCATGTACTGGAGTGAGGAGAAACGCTGATTAGTATTGTCCCTGTGGCTCCTATTAATATTATGTTCCATGTTTTGAATGCTTTATCAGAAAATAGACCTCAGTGTTATGAAATATTCATGCACTGTCAACCATTACAATAACGGCATTCTCACAAACTGTGGACTACAAATGATATAGTTTTAGAGGTGCTGATCTTTCTAAAGAAAATAGACCTAAAAAGCTTAGAGTCCATACTGCAACATTTGTAACCTCAGTCTAATGAGCACAAGGGATGAATGGGTAGTAAAGCTGGCAGGAACACTTTGAAGTCTCTAATCAACTAAAAATTTGGATCTTGTTCAGGCTCCAGGGAGGCATGTAAAGAAGAGTTTCATCATCTAGCTTCACATAATGGAATGCAAGAACTGCCTGTAACTAAAATATCTTTCTTTGTGCTGAAAAACTGAAATCTGTTCAATGGCTAGTTGTGTGAAGGGGTTTTTTTTACAAGGTAAAACCCAAAAGTCGTCCAAAAACCTCTCACATGCTATGAAAAGCAATAGTCTTAACTTGATTTGAGCAGCTGGGTAGCTTTTGCCAACTCCATTGTCTCTTAGGGCATTGAGAGCTTATGATTTCACATCAAGACAATTACAGCACAGAAGTCTATCAGGTTTTATTTCAGAGCTCATGACTAGGGTTTCAGGTGGCTGGGATGTGGAAAGTTTGCATGGCTGCTCCAGCAGGTCAAGTTATAGCACTTTTGTTAAGCTGTTTAAAATCGCTAGTTGTTTTAAAGTTGCAAACAGGGTAGCCAGGGTTGGGGAATCGCATTTAACCATTGAATATTTTATCTCATTACAGTATCTAAATATGATCACTGACTAAATTAAATATTGGGGTTAAAAGGTCAAACAAAGAGCTGTAAGACTGTCTAGGCTGACTCAAGTGAATAAAATTAATGTTTTTACTTGAAATTGCCTCAAACTGGGTCTTGACATTGTAGTTGAATTAGCAGGTAAACAAAATGTAAAGTTGCTAGTATGACCCCCACAAAGAATAATGCTGGGTGAACCATTGTGGATAACATATAAATCTACCTGAACTTTAATTCTACAATTAAAAGGATGCCTTTTTAAGATTCAGTAAAGGTCAGTTAATGTCGGGATTTTGGTTTTTATCATTGTTGAGCACCTCTGCTCCCTTTTATTGACACACTGATTTATAGACACAGAGGGCACATTCAGACAAGCAGGAGCATGTGCTATGCAGCACTGCAGACCTGTCTGTAGTGCCACACACCACATGCACTGCACATGCAGGCATTCCCCATGCTGCTGATTTTCAGGGCAGACTTCTTGTTTTTTATTCTTTGTTTTGTTTTGTTTTTTGACACCAAGAGATCTCAGAGTAAAAAAAAAAACAAAACAAAAACCTCACCTAAAAAAAGCAGGGTAGCACACTTGGTGTCGGTGTGCACTGCCCAAAGCCAGAGCCTGGCTCCAGCTGCTGGCCAGTCTCCCTGCTGCTGGATATCCGTGGCTGTAGCCCCCAGAACCCCAGGTAAGGCTTCTGAGGCTAGCCCAGGTGCTGGCTCCAGCTTCCCCTATCCTGCCCCACCCAGGACAACATGCCGTGCACCAGAGCACAGATGCATGGGAGTTCCCCGGGGGCAAGTAACAGCAGCAAATATTGTGCCACCACTGTTTGTCCCCAAGTAAATGCACTTTCCTGCTCATGGGGACACACCCAGACAGCCAGATTTTGATCCACCTATTCAGGATGTAAGTAGGCTTAGGCACCTAAGTAGGATTCAGTTCAGACCTGTTCAAATTGTGAAAATTAATTTTTATTCATCTACTTTTGCAACACACTGTCATCTTACCCTTAAGATGGAGTCACAAAAAAGCAGTGAGAAGGAGGAGGAGGAGGGAGGAGGACTCAACCACTCTTTGCCTTAAGTGCTTTGCAGGGACTCAAGCAGGATGGAACAGAAACATACTTAGGCAATTTAATCCTCTGTGGAGTCCTAACTTAGACTCCTAATAGATAGAACAGAATCTAGTCTAGAGTGTTTAGGTTCAGAAATGTTTATAGCCTCATTCCCCTTTAGAGTAAGTTTTCTTTACACTGATCTGGTATGCCTACCCTTACACTGGTTTAAGTACTATAAAATTATCCCTGATAAACTTTGGTGTGATAAGAGGTAAGAACTTTGTTACTTCTCTGACAAGGAAAAAAGCTTGCCACGTAAGAATCAGAATTACTATAGTTATTTCCTATATTATTATACAGCTATTATATTAACTAATAAAGATATAACATTTACAGAAATTGTTCAAATGTGTGATAAAACAATACCACTAGCTTCCTTCGTTATTAATTAATGATGAGGCTACTTATTAAGGTTGCGCAAAGCTTCGGTCACTGATTCAACTCGGTAGAGATTCAGTTAGATTTGGTGGCCAAATCTCCAAATCTGAAAAGAATCAGGAGATCCTCTGATCCCTCCAAATTGAGTCGGAACCCTTCAAATCAATTTGGAGAGATTCGAAAAGATTTGATGATTTGGACCTAGACACAGCTTTAAGCGTTTTTTCTACATACCTCATGGTACCAGGCAGCTTGTGAATGCTGCAATGGTGGGGTGGATGGAGCGTCCCACAGGAGTGTGGGGGGATTCCCCAGAGTGCTTGGCAGGAGACCCAGAAGTGGATCAGAAGCACTTCTGGTCCACTTCTGGGTCTGCCAGGGAGCGTGCAGGAGGGACC